CAAACAATTCACACAAAGCCACCAAGTTACAAAGATATCATGGCTCCATAAAGTAGGTACAAAGAAGATCAGGGGCATTTCAACACACAGAACATGCAGGGAACAGGGAGGAGTCTGAGAGAAGCCACAGTGCTATGGCTAATGTGCCTCTACTGAATTTGAAGTCAGCACTTAGGTTTTGGTACTAATCCTTTGAGTCTGTTCCCTTTCCCTGCACACTCGGACATGGGTGTTTCAACACCTGCTGCTCTAGTTTATCAGTTGCTTTACATAAGTCACATGGGTCATGATATCATGTGGAGAGCTGTACTGTATGTAAATAGTATAGGAACTCATTCATGATGGAACACAAACAAAGTCTGGATGCACAAACATCAATTGGTTTCTCTCATGGACAGAATTCAGATATAGATGCATTCCTACAGGTCAACGATGGAATAGCCTCTTCTCACATGTACTGCCTATGTATATAAACAGACACATACAAGCAGGAGGGATGCTGTTTGTGAGGGACCAGAACTAATGGAACATGAAAGCAAGCAATGTAATTTTTTTATTCATTCTTCTTTCATATTCTGTATCCTCATCTCCTTCCAGTCCCCCTAGTCCCACAATCAACCCTCTCTTTCAGAACCACTGCCACTCTGTTTCCCTTCAGAAAAGGCAGGCCTCCCAGAGATGTCTACTGAGAAAAAGTTAACAATATCCAATACAGCTATGCAAAATATCCATCTCAAGGCAGGAAGATAAAACATAATAGGAGGAACAGGGTACCAAGAACAAGAAAAAGTGCCAAAGATACCTGCACCGCCAGTGTTTGTAGTTTCACTAGAAACCCAAGATAAACAACCAAAGCTACTTTCAGAGGACGTAGTGCGTGCAGATCCATACAGGCTCCATGATGGCTGCTTTGCTCTCTGTGAGCACCTGTCAGACCTCCTGAGCTAATTCTGGGGCTGCGTTCTCCTGGTACCCGTGACTCCTCTAATTCTTACCATACTCCCTCTCCTCTTCCACAAGAATTCCAAAACTTTGCCTAAGGTTTCACCATTAGTCTGCATCTGTTCACAACAAATGTCAGAGGAAGTCTCTCTGATGACCACTGATCTACGTAGCAGATTACCTTTAAAGAGCATCTATCATTTTTTATTTTTGATTTCTGCCAGTTTTTTTATTCTACCCTAGAATTAAATTCTCTGGGTAATTTAATTGGTTCCTGTGCATCCATCCAGGCAGTATTTGACTTGGATCTCCTATCCTGGTTTGGGCCTCAATTAGACAAGTCATTGGTTGGCCACTCCCACAAGTTCAGAGTCATCACTACCCTATAGCATCTTGTATATAAGACAAATTGTTGGTTAAAAGTTTTGTGGCTGAGTTTGTATTCCAGTCCCTCACTGGAAGCTTTGCCTGCTAACAGTAGATGGATGATTTAGGCTCATTAGCCCCTATTACTAGGAGTCCTAAAAACACACTTGACAGATTCCAGGGATTTTCCCCTGAACAAGGTTTCCACCATGATCCCCAAATGCCACCAAATTTTAGTCATTTTGTCCCATGAACTCTTCTTCCATCACCCAAAAAACATGATCCCTCCTTTTCCCATTCCCAATAGCCTTCAGAACCCACCAAATCTATTCTACTTTTCTTCCCAGGTTGATCCATGTAATTCCCCTTGAGCCCTCCTTGTTATTTTGCCTCTCTGGGTCTGTGGATTAACAGTTATCCATTAACTAATA